ATTGTTGTTTTGGTGGGCCCGGGCTGGATTCGAACCCACCACCTTAGGTGTATGTGGCTGGCGCCTTAGCCACTTGAGCCACAGGTACTGAGCCACCAAAGCAGTTTCTAAGTAGTTCTAGACATTATTAAATTATACGCAAAAAAAACTAACCTAATACCAGAAAAAAAATTAAACCAGAAAACATGTGTATTGTAAACCTTCAAAATAAACATATGTTACTTTCTGAGGGAATTAGAAAAAGAAAAAAGCCATGGAGGAGTCCAGGAGACAGATGGAGCAGAATATGAAAGGAGTAAAGAGCTTGAGACCACTGGGTGTAGTGGCTCCTGCCTGTAATCCCACTTAAGCACTCTTGAGCTCATGAATTTGAGATGAGTCCGAGCAAGAGCAAGACCCCATCTCTACTAAAAAAAGTAGAAAAATTAGCTGGGAATTATGTCAGGCATCTATAGTCCTGGTTACTCAGGAGGCTACGGTAAAAAGGATCACTTAAACCCAAGAGTTTGAGGTTCCTGACATCACTGCACTCTAACCTAGGTAACAGAGAGACTTTCTTTTTTTTTTTTTTGAGACCAAGTCTCACTTTGATGCCCTTGGTAGACTGCCATGGTATCATAGCTCATAGCAACCTCAAACTTTCGGGCTCAAGCAATCCTCTTCCCTTTGCCTCTCAAGAAGCTGGGACTACAGGTGCTGCCACAATGCCTGGCTATTTTTTTAGAGACAAAGTCTCTCTCTTGCTCAGGCTGGTCTTGAACCCATGAGCTCAAGCAATCTGCCTGCCTTAGCCTCCCAGAGTGCTAGGATTACAGGCATGAGTCACCACGCCTGGCTCTAAAAAGTTACTTTCTTATTATCTACTCGGATATAACATTATCCTTGTCTCCTTCCTCTCAATCTTCTCAACCAAGTCCTAGTGTTTTCATCATCTCTTCTCTCACAACTGACTTCTTGTCATCTCCCCTATTTCTTTTTTTTTTTTTGTTAGATCGTAACTGTGTATATACTATCATTTATGTGCTGCTTTTATATACAACTTGGAATGCTTACATCAAACTGGTTAACATAACCTTCACTTCACTTACATATATATATATTTTTTGTAGTTTTTGGCCGGGATTGGGTTAGAACCCGCCACCTCTGGCATATGGGGCCGGCGCCCTTACTCCTTTGAGCCACAGGCACCGCCCCACTTACATATTTTTAATTTAAATAATTATCTGTCTCCTGCCTAGATTACTACAGTAGGTCATGAATAAATAAGACAAATAATGTCCCTATCCTCTGTATTAGAAAAGGTAAATAATAATGAAGTATAATGAATATATGATAAAATGCTATCAGTTCAGTTTTCTTTCTTTCTTTCTTTTGAGAAAGAGCCTCAAGCTGTTGCCCTGGGTAGAGTCCTATTGCATCACAGCTCACAGCAAGCTTCACACCTGGGCTCAAGCGATTCTCCTGTCTCTGCCTCCCAAGCAGCTGGGACTACAGGTGCCCGCCGCAACGCCTGGCTATTTTTTGGTTGCAGCCGTCATTGTTGTTTGGCGAGCTCAGGCTGGATTCGAACCCGCCAGCTCAGATGTATGTGGCTGGCGCCTTAGCTGCTTGAGCCACAGGCACTGAGCTAGCAGTTCAGTTTTCAACATGTTGAATTTGAGGTGACTGCAAGATGTCTAATAAATAGTCATTCAAGGCTAGGGCTCAAGAAAGAGCTCACAGGCTTGGTGCCTGTAGCACAGTGGTTACAGTGCCAGTCACATACACCAAGGCTGGCAGGTTTGTGCCCGGCCTGGGCCAGCTAAACAATGACAACTGAAGGCTCTGCATCTGTAGCTCAGTGAGTAGGGCGCTGGCCACATGCACTAAAGGTGGCGGGTTCAAGCCTGGCCCTGGTCAGCTGAACAACAATGACAACTGCAACCAAAAAATAGTCAGGCGTTGTGGTGGGCATCTGTAGTGGCCCTTGGTGGCTGCCTTGGGAGGCTGAGGCAAGAGAATGGCTTAAGCCAGTGGTTCTCAACCTTCCTAATGCTACGGCCCTTTGATACAGTTCCTGTGTGTCACGACCCATAGGTTGAGAAATGCTGGCTTAAGCCCAAGAGTTAGAGGTTGCTGTGAGCTATGACAGCACAGAGCTCTACCAAGGGTGACATAGTGAGACTCTGTCTCAAAAAAAAAAAGAAAGAGCTTACAATTAGAAATGTATGCCATAGCCAGCATCTAAATGGTCACTGAAGCAATGGACACCAAGTATGTAGAATGAAGAAAGATCTATAGCTCGGCGCCTATGGCTCAAGTGGATAAGGCGCCAGCCACATACACCTGAGGTGGAGGGTTCGAATCCAGCCCAGCCCACCAAAACAACAATGATGGCTGCAACCAAAAAATAGCCAGGTGTTGTGGTGGGCGCCTGTGGTCCCAGCTACTTGGGAGGCTGAGGCGGGAGACTCGCTTGGGCCCAGGAGTTGGAGGTTGCTGTGAGCTGTGATGCCACAGCACTCTACCCAGAGGGATAGCTTGAGGCTCTGTCTCAAAAAAAA